CTCTTCCTTCTAGGTGGGATGGGGCCAGGGGAGTTGGGAGGGAGGATGGGAGCTGGAACAGATCTTAGACACTAAGTTGGAAGGAGTGCAGCAGAATGGCACAAAATCAGATTCAGTGAGGTGTGGGCCTCCATTTCTGCAGACCCCTGCCCTACCTCTGCCCAGGAGAAACGTCCACTTTGCCTAAGCCACCACCATTCTATATGAAGCTTGCTTATAGTGGCCAAAAAGAACTGCACCTGTTTACTGGGTTGAATCCCAGTTGATATTTGGGACAAGTTGTTTTTATTCTCGGAGGACATTTCTTCATTTCCAAACTGGAGCAAACATCTACCATGAGGTTCTCCATGGCATCACTGAAGACCCAGACCCTGATAGGCCCACCATAAATAGTAGCTACTCGGAGCTGCTGGACAGAATATAACTTGGACGTGTAAGAAGCAGGCCCCCGAATTCCACGGGGAGGACATGAGATGTTCACGGTGGGTGGGTGGGTGTCTTTATCTGTGGGGACGTATATGTGGTGTCACGGACACAGAATGGAAGCAGCACTCCAGCCCCAGCGCACCCTGCAGCCCCTCGGGCCTACAGGAAGTACCTACTCCTCTCCAGCAGCCCCCAAGATAAGGCCAAGGAAACAGGGGAGCTTCCGTCTGGTGAGGAGGAAGGGCCAGCAGAAGCCAAGGCACTAGCAATAATTCAAAGCAGGTGGAACCCAAGTCACTGTACCCAGATGCTCCTAGGAAGTGCCTCTCTTTTCCAGTGAGGCAGGCACCACCAGCATACACGCTTCCACTGCAGCAGAGCCCAGGGCTAAGAAGTAGCCCCCCTCATTTCCTAGACCAACGTCTCAGGGAACAACTGAGATGCAAGAAAGTCACCACTAGGGGAAGAGGGATAAAAGGACCACAGACAGTAATGTTTGGGATTTTATTTTATTTTATTTTAAAGATTTTATTTAAATCTTTACATAGGCAGAGATCACAAGTAGGCAGAGAGGCAGACAGAGAGAGAGGTGGAAGCAGGCTCCCTGCTGAGCAGAGAGCCCGATGTGGGGCTCGATCCCAAGACCCTGGGATCATGACCTGAGCTGAAAGCAGAGGCCTTAACCCACTGAGCCACCCAGGTGCCCCAATGTTTGGGATTTTAAAAGTTTATCTCACTCCTAAACTTCCAGGTGGGATTACATAGGAGGGAGGCTGGGCAGGAATGTCAGCATCTCGAGGACACCCAGTGACACCAACCAAGCCAATCTGTTTCCCCATTTATGAAATGAGAGAGGTGAGCCACATGGTCTCAGAGGCGCCATCAATGCCCACAGCTGCCAGATGTTTGTCCCCAAAGGCAGGGTTTTTTTCTCCCCAAGAGTGAGCTGGCGCTCAGAGCTCCCCAGGGCCGGGACATGCATCCATCAGCTGCCGGAGGTGAGAGGCCGCCTTGTCCAGCTTCGACAAGTCCAGCTGGAGGGAAGAAAGCTAGACAAGAAGAGCAGCAGGTGAGGATCCAGATATTAGGGCCACACCCTCCAGCCCACGTGCCTACAGGGAGTCAGGCCTCCAGCCTCACCCTCTGCTGCCTCTTAGTCTCCGCCTCTCCCTCTGATGGGGTCCAGGCCATGAGGCCATCAAGCTGCTTCTGCAACTTGTGTCTTCGGGCAGCTAGCAGAGACAGATGGGTCTGGGGGTCCACCAGGCCCTGCGGGAGAACAGCGAGGGTTCAAGTTTCTCTCTGCACCACCCACAGCTCTGCTTCACCTGCAGCCTGTCCAATACCTCTGTCCACCCCATTCTTAGGAGCTCCCCTCACTTTTACGGAACCTGCCCCTTGCCCTCCTCCCAACATCCTTTCGATCCCTCCCTTCCTCCTCCAATCTCCTCTGGGCACCTGCAGCTCCATGTACACCTGAGTGGTGTCACTGAGTGGGGTCTGGGCCCAGCCGGAAGGCGCTGCAACACCTGGGGGTAAGAGGCCCATGACCCCACAGCGGCCCAGGGTGCCCAGGGGCTCCAGGAAGGCCTCAAAGAGGCCCTGCTCTCCAGGCTCTGAGCTCTGCAGCAGCACTGAGGAAGAAAGGGAAACTGTCAGGGTCAAACCACAAGATCCTGCTTCCCTGCCCATCCTGCACCTCCTAACTCGGACTCTGCCCTCCAGGCTCCCCCATGCTCCTCTGCCAGCCCCCTCTTTCTGCAGGACTTAGGGACCCAGAACCCAGCTCACCTCGGGGCCGGGCCTTGGTGAGCTGGTATGTGGCTCGGAGAGCCCTCAGTGCCTGCACAGCCTCCTGGACCCGGGAGAAGTGCTGCTCCAGCTCTGGCTGGCGCCAGTGCTCCTGCAGATGAAGACCCAGAGCTGACAAGCAGGCTCCTGGGACACAGCAGCAACTCTCCTGGCTCTGTCCCACACCTGCACAACCCAGTCTGCTTAGGGCAACAGAATCTGTCCTCCCCACCACACACAGAATTCACCAACTCAAGCAAAACCTGGGGCACTGCCTATGCAGGTCTCAGTTGGCGGCTGTGGTTGATATCTGTTAACTGTTCTCATCAAAGGCGAACGACCAGAAGTAAGTTAGAACTTAAACTCTATTACTCAAAACTCACAGAACCAAATAAGCATAAGAAAATTTACATAGTGGGGCGCCTGGGTGGCTCAGTGGGTTAAGCCTCTGCCTTCGGCTCAGGTCATGATCCCGGGGTCCTGGGATCGAGCCCCACATCGGGCTCTCTGCTCAGCGGGGAGCCTGCTTCCCCCCTCTCTCTCTGCCTGCCTCTCTGCCTACTTGTGCTCTCTCTCTGTCAAATAAATAAATAAAACTCTTAAAAAAAAAAAAAAAGAAAATTTACATAAACTTTAAATCACTTGGGGGTGAGTTTACGGCATTTACCCTTCCGACATTATTAAAGCTTAAAACCACAGATATTTGGGGGCCATCCTAGGACTAACATCTAATCCTCATCATAACCGTGGCTAAAGATGGGGAACTGAGGCACGGTCACACAGCAGTGTGGTCCTGCTCTTGCCCACTGGGCTAAGACTACCCCCGCCACAGCTCTGCAGGAACAACTCATCCTCCTAAAGACTCTAAAGTAGACCCGAGACCCCACAGCACCACACCCTTAGAGAAGACTGCTCCCCACCCCTTCACCCATGGTCCCGTTCCCATGGGACTCACCAGGCTGTGGGCAGTGGGATAGGGGGCAACACAGATGCTAGGGGCAGAGCTGCCGCCAGGCCTGGGGGGCAGCCTCTGCCAGAGCTCTTCAGCCAGGAAGGGCATGAGTGGGGCGAGGAGGCGGAGACCGACATCAGCACAGGAGAACAGGACCTGAAGGGGGTCTGGGGGATGGGGCGAGTGCGACAGCACTGGCTTTATAGCCTCCTAGGGAAGAAGCCATAGGGTCGGGGGCAGGCCAAAGCCATAACCACATCCTTTTCCCACGCATCTGCTGCCCTGCCCATGGAAAATGCTGTGGGTAAACACAGGTAGGAGCACACAGCATCTTGGACACCACTGGCTGTCCCAGAACACACTTTGGAGCAAATGAAAAGTAGAAATCTATGGCCAGGATTCTCAGGGGTGGGAAGGGGGATAAAACTGTCAGCGTGGTTTGCATAGTTTTGAAAGCAAAGCACTGAGGTTTTTGCCTATCAGAAAGACAGAGGGGCGCCTGGGTGTCTCAGTGTCTCATCTGCCTTCAGCTCAGGTCATTATCCTGGAGTGCAACAGCATGGAGTCCCTCATAGAGGCCTGCATCGGGCTCCTTGCTCGGCCAGAAGTCTGCTTCTCCCTCTCTCTCTGACACTCCCTTTGCTCAGGCTCTCTCCTTCACTCTCTCCCTCAAATAAATAAATAAAAAATCCTTTTAAAAAATGATTCTGTAAATATTTAACATTTAAAAAAAAAAAAAGAGTTCTCTGCCAGGGAACCCGATCTCAAGGGGAACAGGAAGCAGGTATGCAGGGTGGAATGAAACTCCGTGGCCCCAGTCTGACTTACCAAGTAGACATCACAGAGGTTGTGGAGCCAGAAGTGGTGTAGGGCATGGGTGATAAGTGAGAGCTCTCGAGCAAGGAAGCCTCGCTCACACTCCTGGGCAGTATGGGCAAGACGGCTCAGGATCCAGGCATCCATGGGGGACGAGGGGGACAGCTGCAGGCAGAAGGGGGCTTCAGGACGGGATAACGGACTCCCATCTCCTTTCCCTCCAAACCCCATCTTCAACCCTCAGACACCTGATGATTCTGCCCTTCAAGCCTCTCTTATTCTCTTACCTCCTCCACAGGCTGGGGTACGAATTTCTCCCCTAAGGCATTGAGCATAAAGCGCAGGGCATTCCAAATTTTGTTGCAGAAATGCCGGGAACTCAGGACCTCAGAGACAGACAGGTTCAAGTCGCCCCCTGAGAGGGAGGGGGGAGCGTGCACGTGGGTGGCAGAGGCACAGGGAGTCCTGGCCCACCCCTCTATTGTGGGGCCTACAGCCCTAGCCCCTCCCTCGCCCAGGCTTACCTAAGGCCCCATGGGAGCACAGGGCGAATCGCAGGGCATCTGTCCCACACTCAGGGATCCCATGAGGGAAGTCCTTTCTCTGCAATCAGAGGGAGAGGAGGTATGGCCGATGTCTATGCAGCTGCAAGGCCAGAAGCCTGGGCTACGCAGGAGACCGGCAGCCATGAGCTTGAGGCTGAGACAGGCAGACGCTGGTGACTCACTTGTGCTGCAGTCGCGATCGCCAGCTCTGTGGAGTCCAAGTTCCCATCCCTCAGCTTTGTCTGCAGCACCTGGGATGTGTAAGGACTTCAGTGGCCTTGGTCAGGGACCCTGCCCCTACAAGGCTCCCAGCCACTATCCCTTCCAGCTGGCCCCTCTCTCCTCAAGCTCCCATCTCCCCCACGAATGCCATCCTTCACAAAACTCTTCATCCTGACCTGCAGGTCCACCCCATGGATGATGTCTCGTGGGTCCAACACATTCCCCAGGGACTTGCTCATCTTCCGGCCCTGCCTGTCCCGAACCATGGAATGAAGGAGCACCTGGGGGCATGGAGGGAGTCAGCAGAGGAGCTGGGGGAGCCTTTCCCTGGAGGTGATTTCCCTGGAAGATGCCTCTGTGCATCAGGGGTTAGAGGAGTTAGTAAATCAGGAAAAAGGAATTGGGACCACAGACAACAGCACAATCGGGGTTAGAAGAGAGAACAAGATTTAAGGAAAACTGGGGGGTCAAAGAGAGGGGCTGGGCACTGAAGGGCCATTACCTTACTGAAGGGGAGCTGCCCTGTGAGCTGGGTCCCCAACATGACCATGCGGCCCACCCAGAACAACAGAAGGTCACTGCCCGTTTCCAAAAGTGACAGGGGGTAGAAACGAGCGAGGTCTGGGGTCTAGAGAAAAAGAGAAGCAATGAGAAGCCAAGCTCTGTGCCTATAGCTCTCCTCAAGGTTCTTGGGGGAGCAAGGTCTTTAATTCATCATCCCCACCTTCACTCTCTTCCTCACAACCCGCCTCACCTCTTGGGGCCAACCCAGGGCAGCAAAGGGGAAAAGAGCTGAAGAGAACCATGTGTCCAGGACATCAGGATCTGGGAAACAGAACAGGGAATGGGGGCAGATGGAACCGCAAGCCCACTGCTGTGCATCTTTCCAGCCCAATCCCCCCAACCTCTGTACCCGTCCCCCCAAGCAGACACCATTATCAGGCCCTCTGCCTCATTCTCAACTTTCCCAACACCACCTCCTCCACCTCAGGATCTGCTCCCGAACAGCCCAGCCTCCCACCCCTGCCCTCCACAACCCAGACACTCACCCCTCTGCAGGGTCAGCTCTGCCCCTGGTTTCCCTGTCAGTTCTGCAGCTATTTTTCTGGCCTCGGCCTCTGTCCGCCCAACCACCCAACAGTCTCCTTTATCACCCTACAGAAAAAGTTAAGGGGTGGAGAGAGTGAGGAAGAGTAACACCCACCAGGTGTGAAAGAAACATCACTGAGTTTCACATTCTCCCACGTGATCTAGGAACGGCTGGCTCCCTCTGGCAGTGGGAGGAAGAAGGTCCAGCTCGGGAGCTCTGACCACATGGTGGGTGACATGACTAAGGGCATGAAGCCCAGGGAAGGCAGGGAGCTGGGACTGGCCCTGGAAGTCCTCTGACTCCTGTGATATGGCTATTTCTCCCTCCACCATGCCCAGCCCTCCCATCCTCTTCCACGTACCAACCTTCACGTGCCCCTCCACCACCAGGTAGGCAGGAATCTGATGGCCCCACCACAGCTGCCGGGAGACACACCAGTCCCTGCGGGAAGGACGTCAGTAACTCCTTGGCATAAGCAGGGCATTGCCCCACCCCACCTCCACAGAACTCCCCTCACCCTTACCCGATTTGGGAAAACCAGTGCTGCCAGTTCTTCTGGTGGAAGGATGGACTAAGCTCCAGAGCCCCTGACTCCACAGCCTGGAGAAAAAGGCCCTTAGACAGTGCTTCGCTTCCTGCACCTGTACCCTCCCGGATGGGACAAGTGGCCTCTGAGGTGGTGCTGTTACTCAGAAAGGATCTCCCAAGGCTCCTGAGGAGCTTCTGGGTTTGAGTGGGAGATGAGCCAGCCCCGTCTAGGCCACCCTGCCTCCATCCCACAGCTATCCTCTCAAATGCTGGGGCCAGAGGTCTATGGATCAGGAGGCCTCAGCCTCCCTGTTTCTTCATTCCAGTTTGCAGGGAGTTCCCGCCACCCAAGGCGCTGGCCCCTTCCGCACACTGCAGCCTCACCTGCGCAGCTCGGTCCCCCATCTCCTGGCAGCGGACAAACCACTGGCTCTTCAGTAGGTATTCAACCACATCCCCAGAACGGCTGAGAAAGAGACAGGCTAAGTGTGCTGCTCCTTGGGTTCTGTGCTCTTCCCCCAAGGGACATGGGACACTACTACACGCCAGGCCCTCAGAACCAAGAATAGAACAGCAAATAAAACTGACACAGAGCTTCTGTTCCCTCGCAAAGGGGTACGTATAGAGCCCACCCTCTTGCCCTCTTCAGCTTTATTCACTCCCTTCCTGGAGAAGTCCTACGTAAAAAGAGTTAAAATGGGGTTACCTGCAAATAGGAAGCACCATGGGGTGGTTCTGGATGCCTCGGAACAGGCCCCGTTCCCTCAACGCAGACATAATCTTCTCTCGGGCCACAAATCGGTGAAGACCCTGGGGAGATGATGGCAACAATAGAGGGTAAAGGTTGCTAAAAAAATAAGAAAGTGAGAGAGGGGAGGAGGTGAGAAAAGGCAGAGAGTGCGCCCAAAGAATGGGGTGACACTGAGGCCAGTACCACCTGCAGCCAGTCCCCGCAGAGGGAGGTCATGGTCCCATCCTCTGCAATGACACTCAGGGGGCTCAAGCTGTGCCGGGCCCCCAGCTCAGCATCAGCAGGGCTATGTGCCGGAGTCACCTTCACTGCCCCTGGGAGAGGAGAACCACCGTGAGCACTGACCCCTCACCTTTTCCAGCAGTTCTGTCATTGCCCATGCCCCCACCCCTCCCTTCTCTTCTCGGTCTATGCCTCCTTCCCATCTCATTATCCACTGAGACTTCCCTCCCCTCCTTTCCTCTTCCTGGTGCTCCCCACTCCTCCAGAATCCCCAGCCTCCTTGCCTTTCTGTGACCTCCACCTACCTGTGCCCACATGTGGCTGAACAGCAGAGTCTGTGATGAGGGGGAGAAGCTGCCCAGTCAAGGGGTGACGAAGCTGTCGTCCATGCAAATGCTGAAAGGAAGGGAGCGAGATCAAGGACAGGCACACATGTGGAGTGCAAAGGTCTGGGCTGAGCGTGAGAACCCTGGGAATAACAGGGTGAAAACCAGAAGGTAAAGAGCTAGAGCAGTGGTCAGTAAACTTTTTCTTATGGGGCCAGGGTGTATTTAAGCCTTTGCAGACCAAGAGGCAAATTCAGTCTCTGCACAATTCCTCTGCTCTGCCACTGCAGCAGTGAGGTCATGATACCCAGTTGCAGATAATGTGTAAACAGGCAAGTGCATATCATACAAAAACAGGCAATGGGATGGATTTGGCCCATGGGCCACAATTTATCAACCACTGAGCTAGAGAAAAAATAGAACATCAAGAAAAGAAAGGCATATAGTCAGAGACACTGGAGAGCTGACACGAGAAAAATCTTAGGAAGATGCAACTGAAGGAAAGAAGGAGCTACCATCAAAAAAGGACAAGAAATGCAAGCTATGAGGTAGACAAGCGAGTGGCAGAGAGTACACTGTGTGTTACCATGTATCGAGAGTCCTCAGGATGAACAGCCACAGCCACATCTCCAGGCAATGTTTCTGGCCTTGTGGTTCCCACTACAACCTCTGCATCTGAAGACAAAAGTCAAGCACTCAACACTGGTCATTGCCATGGCCCCTCACTCTCATAACTGGAGCCAGAGGAACCAGAAAAGGGAGGAGGCGAGAACCTATCAAGATTGAGCAGGGCCCCAGGAGCAACTAGAGAAAATTAGGAGCCGGGGGTTTCCATGTAAGCTGATGACCAGAAGCCTGGGAGGCTGTCTGGTGTTAAGGAATTTCTCAAAAATGTGCACGGGAGAAACAGGTAGATCATGAATAAAAGCAACCAGAATCCTTACATGGTGCCCAGAAAACACTGAGAGTTCTCGAGACCGTAATCACAAATGCTGTGCTTTCTCTGGGGCAAGCACCAGCCCTTCCTTGGGAAACGTTCTCCATCTATGCCAGCTAATCCTTCTTTGCTTTCTCTGAATTCTTCCAAGCACTTACTGTTCAAATCACACTTCAGAATTTATTTTTTGTCTCTTTCAGGGTAGCAGCCTCCTGTAGAATGATGCTAAGCTTCCGACAGGCAAGTACCACGTGCACTTTTCTCACGTGACACAGAATACCCAGAACAAATGCCCACCAGAACGCAAATACTACCCAAGGTTCCTTATGTGCCTCCCACCAGGCCACGTGGGAAATGGGTTTATGGGTTCCTTCCCATCAACCCAACACATGCGCAAGAAAGCAGAGATAAGCAGGCAACCTTTCTGAGGATTACCCTCACCAGGCTCTCCATCCACAGGGAAGGCCACAGAAACGAGGAGGCCAAAAGACACAGGGCTGGGGCAGCCAGGCAGTCGAAGCTCCGTGCGGCCAGGAAGCGGCCGGCTCTCCACCTAGAGGAATCCAAGCAGCAGGGCTGGAGAGCAGCCTTTCTGCAGGCTTCCCATCTTCACTCCCCCACCTGCCCTGGGCTCCTTGCAGCCCATCTAAAGACACTCCAAGGATTCAGGAGCCACCTCCCCCTCAATTCAGTCACAGTTACAGAAACATTCATCGAGCACTTACACTGTGCGCCAGTATCATGCTGAACACCTTCCATGAATTCTCACTTAATTCTCACGACGCCCTCCTGACACAGGCATTTCCATCAGCCCTAACTGACTGGGGAAACTGAGGGTGACAGAGGCTAGTGCCCTGCCAGAGTTCCCATGGCTGGTTGGTGGCAGGACTCAGTGAATCCTGGCCATCTGGCTGCAGAGTCTGAGCTTTTTTTGCCCACCTAGGAGCTCTCCCAACCTGCCCTCCTCCTCTGCCTCACCTCAATATCCGAGATGGCTGATCTTAAAGCGCAGGACCAGTTGACAAGCTGCTGGCCCCGGTACAACAAGCCTGCCTCGTAGAGTCGCACAAAAGCTTCAGTCACGGCCACCGAGGAGCCCTAGGAAATGACCTCAGCGTCTCTATCCAACAGCCCCTTCTTAGCCCATCACCCCACTCAGGGACCCAGGCATTCCCTCCCTACTAGTATCCCCAACACACACAGCATCCTGCCTGCCCACACCTGTCTCTAGACACCGCCTCAATACCCACAGGGAGCAAGGCATGGAGCACTCACAGCATCCATAGTGAAGCACTCTCGGTCCCAGTCCAGGGAGGCCCCCAGAGCTTGGAGCTGCTCACTGATCTCTCCTCCTTTCCTGTGCCCAGACAGATTTTGGTCAGCAAACTTGTCCTGAGCACCAACTATGTACCAGGCCCAGTGATACTACCGGCAATGCCGAGCATTAGAGTATGGCATTAATCTAGCCTCTAGAAGCCAACGAAGACAGACACACAAACTCAGCAGGGAACTTCTGTGGCATTAAAATAAGTGTAAAGGTATGGGCGCCTGGTTGGCTCAGTTGGTGGAGCACGTGATTCTGGATCTCGAGGCAATGAGTTCAAGCCCCACACTGGATGTAGAGTATACTTAAAACAAAGTTCTATGGTAACAGAGAAGGGGGCAGCTAATTTGGGAAAAACCAAAAGAAGCTTTACAGAGAAAGTGGTACGTGGTAACAGACCTGTAAGAATGAGGGTAATTTCAAGCAAATGGAGAGGAGAAATAGGTAAGTAGAAGAGATGGTGAAAGGTAAGGAAACACGGGGTAAGTAGACAAAAATTATACATACATGTCCACACCCACAAATATGTGCATTTAAAAAAAAAAAAAATATATATATATATATATATATATATACACACACACACACACACACAGAGAGACAGCTTGGAGACCCTGCTGAAAGCTAAAGGAACCCAGAGTTCCCCTCTCCAAGGAAGGTTAGAGCTGAATGGGAAGAGCCCATCGAGTCAGGGAGAACGGCTGGGAAGCAGGGCCCAAGCCTGCCACCTCGGCCCCTCCACCTCCACCCATCGTACTCACTCCTCCTTCCACTTCCACACCTCCCTAAGGAATTCTTCCCGGCTCAGCTCGTGTCTCCTCACTCCTCTCTCCTTCCACAGTTGCTTCTCCACCACAGCCTACAGTAAGATTAGGAGGCAAATGAACAGAGAATCGGATCACTTTGGGAAAACTCTCCTCCACCCAACAAAAGGGCAAAGTGGCAAAATGCATACTTGTGTAGCAATTCCTGCATGATCTGAGCCAGGAACCCACAGCACCTGATCCCCACACATCCGGTGCCTACAAAACAAACACCCTCAAGTGAACCCCTGAGCTTGCGTGTTTATTCTCGATGCTTCCACACTACCTCACTTCCTCCTTCCCCTCCAGGAAAGCAAGCATCCCCAACCCCTCTCACCAGCGCACCAGAGCATCCTGTATGGCCACCGTCAGTGCATGCCCGATATGTAGGGAGCCAGTGACATTGGGAGGTGGGATACACATGGAGAAGGTCTCCCCTGTAGCCTGAGGCAGCTTGGTCTATAAAGTGGAAAAGTCAAAGAGCAAGAGACGACTCCCCCACCTGCCCTGGGCTCTTACATGGGGGAATAGTACCCTCTGGTGTCCCCAAGGCGGAAAGAACTGCAGGAAAGATAAACCAACAAGTAACAGGAAAAACCTGCCAAGAAAACCCTTTGGACACCAGGGGTGAAGACAAGCTCTCCCATTTATTGGGCAGGCTGGCTGTAAGCTCTAGACTCTGAGGCTCAGTTGTGCCCACCCAAACTCAATGGCCATTCTGTCCTGGGGACCATTTAGTATCCCTCCCTTCCAGGTACTAACCTGATACTCTGGTTTGAAGAAGCCCTCTTGCACCCACCAAGAGTACCAGGCAGCCTCAACATATTGAGGGCTGTATGCAGGAGGCAGAAGCCGGGAGACATCTGCAGCAGCAGAGGAGAGATCCACTAAGTCCTGAACTTTGTTCCTGGGCTGCATTTCAGCAGCCCAAGTGGGCAACAAACATGTGAGTGAATAGGCCTTCAAGTTCCCTAATCACCTTTTTTTTCACCCGGTTCCGTGGGGATTTCATACAACACTACCTCCTTGGGAGTCCAGGCCTTACTGGAT